TAATTTATTTTTCATAAACATAATCATAATTTATTTCATAGTGTTTTAACATAAATAACTACATTTCGGGCTATTTTGGCGTTAGCCAGGATGCACCATGCGGAGGCATAGTCCGCTTGGCATACTTCTAGTAAAGTAAAAAAAATTTTTAAATAAAAAAAATAAAAAAGAAGGATGTCAAATGGCCTCCACGGTGCATCCTGGGTAACGCCAAAATAGTTCGAAATGTTATGTTTATGTTAAAACACTATAAAATAAATTATAATTGTGATTATGAAAAATAAATTACAATTTTTTTAACATAAAAGTGCTTATAACTGGGAAACAACTTATTTTCGGATCTATGTTCATATAGCTTTTTTTCCTTCTTTTTGGATTCCGAATTACTTCTCGAAATATTGCAGGCGATTTTCCGGACACCCTGTATATAAACGTAGTCAGTCTGATCATCTCTCACAAGTTTACAGTATGTTATACAACACATATCTTGATTTAATTGTGCGCATTATTGTTTTGCCAGTAATACGTTTTGCTTTATTAATATATGCAAATCAAGATTTAACTTATAATTTTATTTGACTACAATAATTTAATGTTTCTAATATTTTAGTTCATTATTTGACCTGATCGCTTAAGTATTCTGCCAAATATTAAAGGCGTTGTACATTTAATGATTTTTGATAATAAATTGGATAATAAATAGCTTAATAATGCCTATCAGTGAAAAAGCCTTATACTCTAACGTTTATTATATTTCTGTAATGAAGAGGATTCAAATTAGGAATCGAAATGTCTTGTAACTTTTCATTATTTAAATATAATTTATTATACAAGAATAATCAATGTCGGCTCACTAGCCGACACTAGCTTTTCATTTGTTTAATTTGATTTATTTCATTGAAGTCTTTGTATCTTATATAGTTTTTAATAAAAAAAAATATAGGATAGCGATAAAACACAGTGGGAGTTTTCTAACAAGCGATACTGTGTAAGATAGTAATCATTTCATCTTTATTCAACATTGGCAAACAGCAAGGATGTAATGATTCACTGTGTTACATTATGTCATCTGTTATGTCTCCTGTTGGAAAGCTCCCAGTATCAGGCAAATAAGTTGATCAAAGAATTATAGCATTACAAAATAAAATGTTACATTTTTTCTAACCTATTGTAAATTTAATTTTTTGTTTATTTATAAAATAGAAAATAAATGTTACATTTCGAATTTTACTACTAGAGTAACAGAACTAACAGAAAAACTTAGATAATATTTAATCAATACTGAGCTGAGTAATAAATAATACAAAGTAAGAGAGTAAATAGATAACATGATCTTACACTGGTACTAAAACGTCGTAGACGAGTTGAATTTGCAAATATATTATAGGTTGACACAGCGTCCCTGCAAGTGATAAAATAAGAAATGTTTAAAGACAATTAAGCACAGTTGCAAATATTAGAAAACATTTTTAATAAACTTATTATCAATAAAGGTTCTCTCAACTTTAAAAGAATTCAGAATTCAAATCTTCATTACAAGTACTACATGAACTATACATTTGCAATGTATTATAAGATAACAATTAATTAAAAAGTTAATAATAAGTTAAACTAGATCATTATGTGAAGAACATAAATAAGTAAAGAAGCGCCAAATAAAGATCAAGGCTGGAAATCTTGATGTTTAATAATATTTCTATGTAAATTAAATTAAAAAAAAAAGATATATCTTTAATTACATAAATTATGATCCGATTACTGTTAGACTTGAAACGTTATCATAAACTGAAGCTAAACTAATACCACAAATTAAATTCGTTAATTTAATAATAATGTTAATAATCTTAAGACTCTGTAAAGAATTTATTGCGAAAAATATTATTTCAGTCAGAGGTTTCGAACTTCCTGACTGTGGGCATTTTCCAGTGTAATACACAGTGAATCATTACATTCTTGTTGTTTGCCAACATTGGATAAAAATGAAATAATTTACTGTGTTATACAAGATGCCCTTGTTGAAAAACGCCTTATCTGGAACGGGCGCACCTTTCCCAATTCAACCAGTGAAATATTTATCAGTAATAATCAATATAGTGGAACTTCCATAACTTCTACTACGCAGAACTGTGAGAAGTTAGGGAGGTTCTCCTCATTCTTATGTTGGGTCATCTAAAAAGTATTTGCGGTACTTTGTCACTAGATATATGACCATCAACACACATCTAGTGACAAAAAACCGCGGATACTTTTTAGATGATCCAATATTAAGGATAAACATTAAAAAGAAATAGCATGTATTGCATATAGAATGTTTGCGCAGATGCTAACGCAACATAACCTATTTTAACACTAAAAATGTATACGACATCGTGTATATATGTGGAAGGGGAATGAAGAAGTTACAGACTACTGTAGTTAGGAAAATTCCATTGTATATTGACGGAAAATATGTTGAGAGGTGAACGCGTATGAACAATAAGTGAAACTTTAAAGTCACTTATAATTGGTTACGATAATGGTTACTTATAATTATTGGTTAACAGAACTGTATCTTTCATATGTTATTACTTTAAAATTACAAATTAAAATAATATGAATAGTTTTGGGCTCTAAAAATATAAATCATGATATTATAATAATCCCAATAAGATTCGATACTTGATATATTCGTGTATATAGATAAAATTGGGTGCCCAACAAGGGAACACAGTGCGACACTGTGTCACACAATTGAACACAGTACATAGGTGGTTAATGGAACGCTTTAATTTTCAAGTTAGTTATTAGATGGCGTTAAAGTTACTAGATGTTACTAATTGGCTGCATTTAATAAAGGTGATCTTTAAATTGTATTGTGTTGCATTATTTATACTGATCTCTCTGAATCAGCGTTAACGAATTATCATGTAATTATTGCGTAAGTATTGTATTTTCTAAATTGTTGCATAATTTCTAATAATTTTCCATTTTCCACAGTTACTTAACCTAGCCAGATACTCACAAATTTTAAGAGGAAAAAAAGAATTTCTGTTATTGATTATATTATAATTTTGATAGTAAGTTTTGTTATTATTCACTTATAATTCTCTTATTAATTATTATTATAAATGATTATAAAATTTATATATGCTCATAAATTAATAGAAGCTTATAAAAAATGTTAATAGATGAATCGTCCAGGTGTTGTCATTTACGAATTAATGGAAACGCAATATCAAAGTATTACTAATTCGAGCGATAATTCAAGCGTATTAAATATCAGTACAGATAATATGACATCAAGCTCTAAAGAACAAGAAGAGAATGTACTGTTATTCCTTTTGATGCGTCATTTGATGTATGGTCAAAAAAGACATCGTATTGAAAACTATCTGCAAGTTGTAGATTCTTTGACCGATGCCGAATTTAAAAAACATTTCCGATTAAATCGAAAAACTGCCTTAATGTTAACTGAGGAATTAGAGGCATCTGCATTTATTCCATCACATACATTTGGTAGAAAACCGATATCAGTTAAACTTAACTTTTTACTTTTCTTGTGATATATTGCAAACACAGAGCCTCTGCGTCTGATAGATTTAATATTTCAATTTCTTCCGTTTTTCGAGTTCTTCAGCGAGTTATAGTTTGCCACGACATGAAGTTATAGTGAACAATTTAGACACACGAGGAATTAATAATATTTTAGGCGCAATTGGTTTTACTTATATTTAAATTGTAAAACCTGCAACTAATGCACGTATTGCAACTGCAAAAAATATTTCTCTATTAATTTACAAGCTGTTGTTGATGCCAATATGTGCCTTAGAAATATATATTGTGGTGACCCAGGTTCTTTTTTTAGAAGATTACCTCTATACGAAACAGCTATGATAGATAAAAGAACATTATTTCCTGGTGAAACGTTTTTATTAGGCGATTTAGCATATCCATCCTCATGGCTTGTATCTCCCTTTCGAGATAATAGACATTTGACGCCTCAACAAACAGATTTCAATTTTATGCATTCATCTACGAGAATAAAAATTGAAAAAGCATTTGGAAAATTAAAGGGGCGATTTCGTCGTATTAAGTTCTTCACTGAATATCGTGATCTAACTTTCGTTAGTTGCAGCTTGTATATTACATAATTATTGTATTCACAAACATGACATATACGATTTTCCTGAATATAATGATGACTGTACAAATGCAAATGATTATAATGAAGATAATTTTCATAATGAAATGCAAAGAGATCGCAGGATGCAATTATTCAATGAAATATTCTCTTGAATATAATATATAATATTGCATAAAGCTCTTAAAAAGTATAAAATATTTAAAGCTATTATAATAAATAAAAAATTTATTTGTCTTCTACAATAGCTTTAAATATTATATAACTTTAAATATTAATTATATAATATACGTGTGTGTGTGTGTGTGTGTGTGTGTGTGTGTGTGTGGTGTGTGTGTGTGTGCGTGTGTGTGTGTGTGTGTGTGTGTACATACAAAGTAAAATGTTGCGGTAAACTATATAGCACTGATAATTGATTACATTTTATTTTTTTGCTAGAATTAAGAAATTTAAAAGTTACTTTTATATTTTGATTGCAATAGTTTTATATTAAGGTATCAATGTTACTAGCACAATTATTGTAAAAAACTTTATTAAAAAAATTTATAATTTCATTGCAAGAATAAAATGTATGTAATATTTATATTTCTCTTATGCTTACACATAGTAGTAGTAAGTAACTTACTTTCATAGCATATATTTAATGTACTATTGAGATATATGTATATATATGTATACATACATATGATAACAAAAATTAAAAAAAATAAAATAATCGTATTTAATAATCATTTTAAAACTAGGAACTGTAAAATCACAAGTTGAATAAAAAAAAATGAAATATCTTAATTTCTATCAAAGAAGAATGTAAAACGCAAGTATTTTCATTAATCGGAATCTGATGAATTAGCTTTAACTATCTTTTTAACAGTTTATACTTTTTTTCCTCAATTGCTACAATTTCTGTGTGTCTCTTTGTTTTGTCTTGTAACTTTGTTAAATAATGTTTTCGTTGCTTTATTTCTTCTTCTTTCGCAGCATAATACTTTTTTTTCATCTTCAGCAATTCTTTCTTATGTTCAGAAGCAGATACATATCTTTCATCACAGACTTTGTCAATTCAATCTTCATCTTTACATATTCTAACCATTGATTTTTCAATGTAACTTTATCCCTTGCTATATTAGAGTTAGTTCCACGCGGCAAACATTTATTTTGGCTTCTCATACTTAATATGGAATCAATAGATTTAAAAATACTCGAATCTTCAGAGCAAGAACTTTTAGTATCAGAAGGAACTAAGGTTGAGTTTGAAGAACTTGGGTCAAACTTTTGTCGTAGATGAAGCTGAAGGCTTTGCAATATTCATATATTTGGATAAGAAAGTATAATTTGTAGTAGCAATTTTTCCTTTATTAAAGATCTCATCCATTTAATCGAACCATTTGAATGTCATTAGGTTTCTCCCTGATTTCGAATTATTATCTACACATTCCTTATATTTCTTCATTAAGGAATTCATTTTCCAATGGTCTTGATCTACAGACATCTGAAAGAAAAAGATAATTATATAGAACTTTAAATAATTCCGTGTAAATTTATATATTACATATCCAATCCTGCAAACTGTGCGCCGAAATTTTTAATCTTGAAACACAATTCTAACAGAACTAGAGTAGTAATATCACAATTAAATTGTCAAGTAATTTAATAATATTGCACATTGCAATTTTATTATATAATGGATATGTAAAATGTTGAATTTATGAAACTTGTTCATATATTGTTCATATATTTTTTATACCTGAATAGCAAAATCTTGTTGCAGAGCGATAGATATTGTTTCCCATATTTTGTCCTTCTTTTTTGGATGGTCTAACATATCTACTTTTGCTTTGTACAAATTAAGAAGGACTAATGTTGCATTTTGATTCTAAACAGCAGCTGTTAAATACATATTTTTTCTCATTAATAAAATAGAGAAAAAAGTTTTTTAACTACTGACTATTTCAAAACTTATACTAAATACAAAAAATTAAAATACAATAGTTTTCTAAATTTCTAAACCTCTATACTTACATTCTTTCTTTTCTGCACATAAACTATCCGATTCATTATAGTTTTCTTGCCCAAAAGAATTTTCATTAAAGTTTTCTTGAACAAAACATTCATGCTGAGAAATGTGATCAAGCGTTATAATATCATTACAGTTTAAACATTGTATTTTCTACTTAAGTTTTAAAAAGATTTGATATAACTTATGAACACGCGCAATTCGTCAATGACCATAAACAAATTTCTTAGATACAGTGCTACAAATATTATAACATTGACTAAAGTTGGTAGTCATGATAAGCGACACAAGTGTTCGACTCTGCTCTACAGTTGTGTCGACTTGTGTTGTGTTGTGTCCTTGTTGGAAGGCGCTTGTGTCGACACTGTGCCACTTGTGTCTGTTGTTGGAAAGCACTCATTATTAACTAAGTAAGGCAGACAGAAATGTAGAAGTTTCGATTCTTTTCGGGCATTTTTTTCAATGTATAACTTTCAATTTTCAATACATAACTGTTATAATAGTTGTATAGGGTCGAATAATATGTAAAAGCGGACACGACGTGATTCCTTATGAAAAAGTAAAAAAAATATATAGAATAAAATTTTTCAATTTTCTGCTTAGTTTTCGAAAAAATCGAGTGCAAATCCGCTGCATACGTACGCTGTTAAGCTAAGATTCGTTAGACGCGTATAATGTTCATAAACAACGGTCTATGACTTACGATGTCGAACCAAGATGGAAGGAATAACATAGTGTATACAGTTGGACAGTGTCTCTCTCTAAATCTCTACCCTCTCTGTCTATGTACTGTTCATAAGGTTCAAGGACTACAAAAACTTGTGAAACGCGAAAAACATGGAACGGTATTCATAGTTCATTTTTATTTTAAAACTGTCTTAAATATAATGTCTTAAGATGTCGTAAGTCATTCCAAGGACTGTTAACTTAAGCATTATATTTAAGACAGTTTTAAAATAAAAACAGACTATAAATACCCTCCTCATGTTTAGCGTTTCACAGTTGTACCTTTGAATTTTATGAACAGTCCATAGACAAAGAGAGAGCAGAGATTAATAGCGAATTCGGCAGACCGCACTGAGTGCGAACTTTTTCAATGCCATGCATTCGGCTTGTGCACACTATTTCAGTGCGTTAAGATTGTCATTCGGCAAATGAAAACTGAGCCAATGTAGTCCTGAATTTATATTCCGACCAACCGAATGAACCGAACGAGTTTAAGAAATATTGTACTGACGTTTCTGACAGTGCAATTTGGCATAGCACTAAAGTGATTCTGTACTTGCACCATGTCAGAGCAGCACTAGAGTGGAGCCATTGCATGTGTGCCGAATTCGCCATTAGAGAGAAACACTGTCCAACTGCACATACCATGTTATCCTTTCCACCATGTGTCGAACACTCATGTCAGTTTTCATTCAAATATTACAACGATGTTATAGTTATACAGTAGTCTCTTTAAATTTGACCTTTGAGGCGATAAGAGTGGAATGCCAAAATTATAGAGTATCCTATAATTACATTGCATACACTGTGAGGACTTACAATTAGGTGCAAATTAGGTGTGTGCGCAACAGTCTACTATGACATGGAAGGGGTATGTTATTAATGTTTGTAAAAAATATGTGTGAAGAATGCAAAGATTACAGAAGTCAAATTTAGAGAGACTCTACTGTACTGTAATTATATTTAGTGATAAAATAAAATTTTATTCACTAAACATTTTCTTTGTGTTTTTTCTTGAACCTAATAACTTTTAGATTCCGTGTAAACATTGTTTATAAACACGTCTTATACATCGCTCGACGAATCGTAACTGTAATAGCATACGTACGCAGCGGATATTTAAACTCGATTTTCTCGAAAACTAAGCAGAAAATCGAAAAATTTTATTCTATATATATTTTTACTTTTGAATAGAGTTCTGAAAAGGTGAGCCCTCCCCCCCCCCGATTTTCTTATCGATTGACATACTACTGATTACGAATATGACAATGATAATTGCCGACAAAGTCATTTTTCACAAGATCAAATATTTAAAAAACGATTTTTTTCACATTTTTTCGCGCATTTCGCGTGAAAAGTCATGCGATACTTAAGACAGTCTTAAATGTAAGAATCGACTATGAATATCGATTTGTTTCGCGTCGTGAAATTGGCACTGAATCTTTCCTTATCAGCATGAAGCAAGCACAGTTTTGGTCCATTTTTACAAGTGTTTTAAAACGATCTTATCGTTTTGTTTTATCCACATTGTTATCATTTATAAATAATAAACAAAACACATAACAAAAATTGGCTGCGTTCTACAGAGAAAATTTAGTAATTATTTAATATGATTGGTTCTTACACTTAAATTCACCGAAGAACTAAATGCAAGAATTATTTACTAAAGAATTATTAAACGCTAACTGATTATATAGGTTTCTCTGTTGGACACAGCCAATAACGTATCATTTCTCACTTCTGATGTCACTATTCAATATGGCTGTGGTAACTGCTCAGAAGCCTTAATATCTGATATGAAAATCACAATAAATTAAAGTAGAGTATATAATCAAATCAACTGAATAAAGTGTGATCATCTAGTACAGTGATGCACAACCAATTGCAAACAATTAATTTTTTGCGGCCCGCTGCGTCGGCTCATAGTACAAAATATTGTATAAAAATATATTTTCTATATTTTATGCAATCTATTAAAATAACGCGTAACAGTTTAACAATTTCACTTAAGACGTATCTTAAAAAAATCTTTAATAATTTATATTTGAAAAAAATTTGTAGCTTATACTTTATAAATAAATAACATGTGTTTTATTTTTACTAATTATCTTAATTTTTTCATTCTCTTATTGATGAGATAAAATTCAAAGTTAATCATACTGATAATTATTCTTACATAAAGTATATCATATACAATCATTAAAATATAATCACTAAAATAAATTAACAAATAGAAAAATGTTATTTTAATATCACAAAAAAATGAATAAAGAAATTATAAAGCTATCACAAAGTAAAATTAATAATTAGTATTACTTTTTACGCTGGCGTAATTTACATACAATTAAATATAGAAACCCAGGTCATAAATTAAAACGAGTTATATAGGTGTACAATGTGATATTTATTTTATTCAAATCTATAAATTTCACGGAATGTTTCGACTTCACTTAGTCCTCATCAGCCGAATAAAAATTATAACTCAGTACAATAAAAATCCCGTATGATAAAATTAACGCGTAATAAAATTGACGCTCGAATGTGTCATATCTCGAACATCTCACCTTTATCTCCAAATAAATACATAGAATATAACTATATTCTATTACGTCAAACGCAAGGCAATATAATAATATGTCGTGACTCCAAATATAAAATCAATCATTTCTTCGTTTAACGAGAAAGGGCAGTCCGAGAATTTAAAACAGAGAGAATCTCAGTCGAAATTATAATGTCGAAGCGTAAAAATTTTGCAGAGTCATGTTGAAAATGGTTGTAGAGTCCAAATATAATTGGTAAATTGAATAGCTGATAAAATTATACAGATGCTGTTAATTAAAGGAAGATTTTTTAAAAAATTGTATACATACCATTAATTAACGAATAAATAAATTATAGTTTTCAAAAACACATACAATAATTGTGAAGGTGAAATGTGTGAAACATATGCATGTACACTTTTAATTATCATTTAATGATCACCTTATTTTATTTTGAGGTCTAGCAGCACCAAATTATTATACACAAAAAATTTTATTTTAATAAAATTTTCTTATTTTGTGATGCTTCGTTTTTAATTTTTTGAGATTAAACGTTATATTTCATTGCAAATATAAAAGACTCTTGAATAGAAAGATAAAGATACGTATCATTTTTTCTCATCAATTAAATATTATATGTTGCAATAAAATATATGTTCTTTTCGCAATTGGCGAAATTTAAAAATTTTATTTTACTTTTTTTTTATACATATTTACATTAATATAATACATGCATATCTACTACTGAGAGGTAATTTATAATACAAAATTAACAATATTACTACTTGAATTATATTATTTATGTAAGTTTTTTTTTAGTTTATGTAACAATTTTTTATGGGAGATATACGCACACTTGGCATCTTTTTTTGACCTTCTTTTAGAAAGATAATTTTAGATATCACGCATTTTGTAGTATTAAAAACATTTTATATGATTAATAATATAGTTCTTCATACATGTGCGTATTTACTATATCAATATATCAAAGTCGTTGTCGTCATTCGGCGTCGTCGTTGTCATCGTTGACGTCCACGACGTAGTTCTATCGTCATCCTCATCCATCGTCTCTCTCTCTCTCTCTCTCTCTCTCTCTCTCTCTCTCTCTCTCTCTCTCTCTCTCTCTCTCTTCTCTCTCTCCCTTTTCCTTCTGATCTTGGTATCAATTTTATTCGGAATCGAAAGATATCAATGACATTATATAATAAAAGTATTTTTAGATTTTTGATTGCGGCTTTAGTTTGAGTAATTTTAATCTAAAGTTTATTGAGATGTTAAAACTCCAAATATAAAGCTAGTGATAGCTTTATTTGGAGTTCACACGTTCAAACGATCAAGCAGCCCGTTTTATATTTTTTTATATCCTTTTAATTTAAAATTAACTTATTAAAATAATTATACAGTGAAATGTCGACATATAATACTGTGCTAATAAAACTATAAATAAATAAATCGGTAAATAAGAGCAATAAATATGAAAATGATTTTTTGAGGCGATAACGTATCTCATGATGGAAGTAAAAAGGTATGCTTATGTGCAGATATTTTTTGCTGGCCAATGATAGAGCCAGACTCAACTTCACTATCTTGAATAATTTCTAATGGGGAAGATTTTTAAACAAAGAAACGCAAAATATTATGCGCATACAATTAAATAGCCTTATTGTTTATACGTATCGCCGAAATTAAGAAAATTTAATAAAAAGTTACTGGTTAGTAACGCGGTAGTACGCGTATTAAATACTCGATGTAAACAAGGTCAATAAATACATAAAATAATATTATAAATATATTTGATAATTTTCGGACTAGTAAATTTATTTAGTATCAATAATTAAATATAAAATTATTTTCAATGTTAAATTATTTTATTAACATTTATTAACATTAAATTTATTAGTAACATTTATCAATATTTTTTAAACATTAAATTATTATTTAACAAATACAACAGTAAATAAATGTAGATTTAACATTTAAATATTTTTCAATTAGTAAATTTTGACATTTTTTTATCTAGTCATTGCGTATAGTATACAGTATAGTATACAATCAAGTAATTATGTCCAACAATATTTCTTTTGTGATATTCTAGTCAAAGGCATAGAAGACGGGTTGTTTCCATTTTTTAAATAAATCACGAACAAGAACAATCTGGCATCTTTTATGAAGTCCAACGGCTTTTTCCTTTTTTTTTTCAATTTGAATTAGATTTGATAAATGAATTTCATCAAAACAAAGAACCGCTGCTCTTTCTATCTCTGTCAAGCTTTGATTTTTGCCTTTCATTACTTACTAATAGAACGTCTTTTAAGATGCCTTCATCAATATCGAAATTGGCTACTCACTTTCGAAGAGTTGACATTGCGGACAACGGAATCTGTTCCGTTTTTCTCAAATACTTATAAGCTTTCGGACTCACACTTTTCAAAGATATTGCAACCGAAATATCCTCTGAAGACCAGTGGATCTTCTTACATGTCGGATTCATATACATTTTAATTTGTCCAGGCGTAAAAAAGGGACTCATTTCTACGATCTCCTGCTTCATCTGTTTCTTATGTTTATTCTTCTTAATCAATTGATATTTTAGAACTTCAATATCTGAAATCAAGGCTGCATTTATCTCTTTCAGTTTCTGAACTTCATCGATTACTGACGACTATGCTAGAGAGATACCCGCATATATCCAGACATAAATATAAATATAAATATATAAATATAAATAATATATATATATTATTTACATTTATATTTATACATTTACGTATTATATATATAACTAATCTGTGCTTCGCGGGTTTTCTCCATATCTTGGTCCATTCTTGATGTGCCAATGTTTCGTGGACCTTGCAGTATCAG